AGCAGCCATCTCCCGCCTCTCCCCCCGAGGGGAACTTTGGTGGCCCACAGCAGAGGAGAGTTCAAGGGGCATGAGAAGCACTCCTCGCCTCTATTCTCCCCCCCTCCACTGGGGTTTTCAGATGGACCTGACCAGCATCGTGCCCCAGTCGCAGCCCAGCCCACTGTCCCTGGTCCCCAGAGCATCAGTCATGTACACTTGCAGTGGGAGCGAGTGTTGCCCTGCCTGTGCCCATGGGAGGTCATGTCCCTCCACTGCGGTGGCTGTGGCACTTCTCAGGGGAGCAGGAGGGGTATGCTGCCCTCCCAGCTTTTCTCTTGCACGCCCCAGCTTTACTCTGAGACTTCGGGAGAATGACATTTCGTTCAAAATCTCAAGTTCCCAGGCCCTGGGCTTCAAGACAATGCCAGCAATCGCGGGAGCTGGCAGCCCTCCCTGTCCCTGTGGGGACCGGCTCGTGTGCACGGAGGCACGTGCACGGAGGCACAGGCATGGCCCCATACAGAGCGCAGGGATGGGGGGCTTTTGGGCAGGACAGCTAAAACTGAGTCCAGCTCCATCCTGGCTTGGAGGCTGCCGGCTTCACCCCTTGGCACGGGGTACCTGCACAGGGTGAGCCCTGCAGAGCAAGTGCAAGGATATGGGGCTGGGAGGTGGCAGGTTTTTAGATGTCACCGCAGAGAGGCTCAGCCCAAGGCCCCACCAGCAGCGCGGGGGTTACCTGCTGCTCTGCACGTATCTGGACGAGGTGGGGTCCTGCTTGGAGAGTCCCCCATGGCAGGTGCTGGCCGGCTCCTGCCCCGTGCAAAGGGAAAAATGTCAGGGGTGGGGGGGAAAACAACATCAGCTCTTTCACCTGCTCCCACCGTGACAGGACAGCCACGAACGCCCCTGCCCGAAGCACAAGCAGGGCAGTGTTCAGGGCTGCTCTACCCCGGGCTGAGGCCTCATGGGTGAGGCCAAAGTAAGCAGCTCCTCTGCAGCAAGCACCTCTCCGGGGCTGGGAAGGCTCTGACCTGAGCACAAACAAACACACATTTAGGGAAAATGCCTCTTGCCTCTGCGAAACCTCCCCTAATCCCTTTTTGTTCCCCAGTCCCCTCACTGCATACTAGCTGGGTCCCTTTGGTGAGGAGATGGGTGCCCTGCAGAGCGCCCTGCACTTCTCAGCCCCTGCGCAGCCGCGACTTCTCCCTTTCCTCCTGCTCCGCTTCTCGGGGGGCCGGCAGGCTCAGGGGGCCGGGCAGGACCGGGCTGCCAGCCGGCAG